AACTGCCCACCCCCAGCACTGGCCTGTGAGTTCTGTGAGGAGGGTCTGGGCCCCAGACTGCACCCCTCTTCGCCCAGCACGGTGCCCGGCACCGGAACCGGTTAAGCGCATGTGCGCCGACTCCGTGATAAGCGAGTGAAGGACCGAGGCACGCCCGCCCCAGGCCACCCTCTTCCGCAGCCTTAGCCCAGGGCCGCCACCACGTGTGGCTGAGCTGGGAAACGCAGGCCTTTCCAACACAGATAAGAATCTGCAATAGGAAACGGGCTTTTTAAAAAAATAACAGCACATTCTTCTTTTTTCTTCATTGTTTTTTTTTTTTCCTTTCTGCATGGCTTATTTTTCCGGTGCAGCCCTTGAACCAGCTGCAGGGAAGCCCCTCCCAGGCCGCACTCTGAGAGCACGGGGCTCTGCGGCCTCCAAGAACGACGGAACCCCAGCAGGGCTCAGCTGCACCAGATGATTCCAGACCAGGCCTGGCACCAGAGCCCCCTTGCTCAAACCCCAATGGTGGGGGTTGGGGGAGAGGTTACCTCCTGGAAAACTGTTCTCCAGTGAGGGCTTTAAAACCCAGTGTGACATTTCCAAAGGGGCTTCCTCTTCGTGGGCCTGCAGTCCCCCAGCCTCACTCTAAGACGGCATCCCTAAAGAGGCGACATCAGGCTGCCAGAGTTCCGACCCTGGTTATACCGCTGTGTAACCCTGGATCCCTTACTTCACCTCTTGAGGCCCCAGCTTCCCCATGTGTGAAAGGGAAAGTCTAATCCCTACCTGCGGAGCTGTCCTCTGCAGAGAGATGTGACATGCTTAGTACCATGCCTGGCACACAATAAGCCTTCCACAAACATCAGCTGCCTTCGTCGTCATTACCTTCACCTTCCTTGTCCCTGGATCTCCTACTGTGTGGCCCTTCACTGAATCACCTCCTCTCCAGATCAGCAGAGACCTCAAAGTTCTGTTAAATCTCACATTCTTGCCCTCCTGGAATTTCTTCTCGTACATCCCAGAAAAAAAATGGTCCTTCTGGAACAGGGTCTCCGATGAGTACAGGGAGCACAATACCCGTCCTCGACAGGCCAGTCACTTTGCCCACCATGCCTGTCACCGCCTTCCAGCTGGACCCGCCTGCCCATACCCCAGGGAAGCAGGTCCATTAATCCTGACCTCGTCCCCCAGCGCTAAGTGGGCTCACAGCCAATGCTCAGGGACTGGTCAGAAAGGATTTACTGAGCAGCTCTTGTGTGCAGACACTGGAAATACAGGGGCACGTGCAAGCCACCCCAGGCCCTGCCCTCACGGAGTTTATGATCTGATGAAAGAGTGAGACTGCAACCAACAATTCCACCAATAAATTGTAAAATTGCTACTAAGATGAGTGCTACAAAGGAGGGGTCCATGGGTCCATGAGAGGCTGTAACACAGGGTTCAACCTAATCAGGGAGGGCTTCCCTGAAGAGGTGATGCTGAAGTTGAAAGATGCAGAACGAGGAGGGCCTAAGTAGCAGAGTGGAATGCGTTGTCAGAACAGAGAGGATGACATGAGGAAAGTGTTACGTTAGGTGGAACATGACAGAGGGGTACAGGATGGTGTCCCCACAGGGGATGGAGGCAGCGTACGGATTTCTGTCTCTCTCTCCTAACAGCAGTGGGAGTCTATGAAGGTTGTTCGGACAGGGGTTGATAGGCTCTGATTTGTCAAAAAGGTCACCCTGGCTGCGGAGGATGAGCCTTCCCAAGTCCATGTGTATAGTTGACCCTTGAACAAGATGGGTTTAAAAATCCACATATAAGTGGGCCCCTTCAGTTCAAACCCATGTTGTTCAAGGGTCAACTTCTTCAGTCTTTGACTGGGGCTCCGCAGATGTGGAGGGTCGATTTTAGTACGCTTTTGCAGAGTCAAAAGTTACAAGTAGATTTTTGATTTTGTTAGGAGCAGGGATTGGCACCCTTAACCCCCACACTGTTCAAGAGGCAAGTGTACTTGTCCCTGCCAGGAACACTCCTCTAGTCCCTGCGTTAGTCAGGACAGACTGGGTTAGGTTATGCTGCAGTAACAAACCACCGCCAAATCCCAGTGGTTTAAAACAACAAAGTTTCAGTTATCACTCATGTTGCATGTCCATTGTGGGACACCGAAGGGCTCCGCTCATGTAGTGATGCAGGGACCCAGACTGGCAGAAGCAGCCACCATCCCACCTATTGCTAGTTGCCACACCACAGCAAAAGAGAACTCTGGAGTGTCCATACTAGCAACTAAATGCTTTGATCCCGAAGTGACATGTATCACTATCATTCACACCTCACTGGCCAGTCACATGGCCGTACCCAAGCACTAGATTCAATCCTACTGTGTGCCTGGATAAACTGGAAATATTTAAGGGAGCACCTTAAGGACCACCACTCTCCCACCCCCTCTGGCCCTTTGCCAACCTTAACTCATTTATTAGATCACAACTGTTTCCATATTCCAGAAGGAGGGACCATCAAAGTGTGCAGGAGAGAACCAGGCTTGGAATGCAGCGATCTGGTGGAGGGTGGGAAATGAGGCCAAAGAAAGAGCAGGGGCCAGATCACTCAGAGGCTTTCAGGTCACGGTAACAATTTGGTTCTTTTTCCTAAAGACACTGGGAAGACTTTTCAGTGTCTTAAACAGGACATGGGAGGCCTAATGTGATCTCTGGAACAGACACTCTGACTGTGATGCTGATGCTAAGATTGGCATGCGGGGCGGCGGGGGGGGGGGGGGCGCGGGTTGCAGGTGGGCAGTTAGGATGCTCTTGCTGTTGTCCCAGGGAGAGTCAGTGGTGGCTTGACTAAGAAGCTGGAGAGGAGGGGATGGAAAGAAGTGGACAGATTATACATATAGACTAAGTTTCCCTAGATCTGGAGATGGAAGGGATTGCGGGAACAGTCACCAAACTTCCTGCCTTAAGAACTAGCAGGATGGTGGGAGCCTTGGCCAAGATCAGAGCCCTGGAGGAGGTTCGGGGAGGGGGATTATGCGACAGCCTTGGACTCCGTGTATTGGTCATGACTATGAGATAGCCAAGAAGGCAGGCGAAGGAGGCAGCTGAATAAGCAGGTATGAATCCTGACTCCTAGTCCAGTGGTCTTTACTTCTTCCACACTCGCCAACAATCTAGTACAGGTGAGGAAAGGAGAACAGATTTATGGAACACATCTATCTGAGGGGTCTAAAGGACAGAACTGTAACTCAAGTCAAAACGGTATATGTGATGGGTGTGGTGGCTAATCAAGGGCTCCTGGGACAAGTGAAGGGAGCCTCACATATTTGAGAATGTCACTGGGGAAGGGAACCAGATTCTGTCCCAGCTGCTCCTTGGAGTCCCTGTTGGTTTGGGACTGGACAGACCTGGGTGGCGCCTGTCAAGCAATTCTGATATTCCCAGGATAGTATATTCTGCACTATTTCCAGGGGGAGAGAACAACAGTTCTTAAATCATGTCAGCCATGGGCCAGGCATTTTATCTCTGCCATTTCATTTGATCTCACAACTGCCTTGACAGACAGGCTTTGTTGCCCCCATTTTAGGGATGGAGAAGCAAGGTTCAGACAGGTCAGATAACAGTACCAAGTCCACAGGGGAAGGGTTCCAATGGAAAAGCCCCTTTCCATTAAACTACCGCACACTGCCAAAGCTATATTCCCAGAGGGAAAGATCTTCAGACGTGTGTCAACAGAGCACTCTGCTCGCCCGCCTATCAGAGTTCGTAGGCAAAGCCCATGCCCCACTCCCCAGGGAAGAAGACCACAGCCTGTTAATTCTCTCCCATGGACGCCACCCCTCCCCCTAATACCTTCCTTCCCCTCAAGGGGAATGTGAGCAAAGGCAAGCTTGGGTGTCACAGGCAGGGTGCTCTATGGAAAAATTCCTTTGCCCCAACACAGACAAAACCCCCAAAGTTTATAGGGTTTCCAGGCATCAAGAGCATTCTCTCATTATTGTCTCCCGTCCCCGCGCACAAAGAACTGGGTGTGTTTCCTTTCAGCCACTCTAAATTATACACCACAGCCTTTTTCCACATGAAGCAAACGTGTAAGAAGGAAGAGAGGTTTAACATTTTTCTGCCCCAAGTCTCAGCCCATCCTGGGGGTCTCAGTCCCTATTGCGCAACCCGGGTCAAGACACAAGCAACTTTTCAACCAGCATCGCCCCGCGCCCAAGACATTAGTATTCTCCTTGCAGCGACTTGCCTAGGGCGAGCTGGCCTTGACCGGAGAAAGGTCATTGGCCAGGAAGTTTCCGCCGTTTCTGCAGATGAGAGTACCTTGGGGATTGCGAGTAGGGGAGACGGGGGCTACACTCCGGACTGATATCCCAAAGACTCTACACCTCAACTAAGACTTAAACCGTATTAAAGAAACGGCCTCCGGCCCGGCCACGTTTAACGGGAAATCGCGGACCGCAATGGAAAAAGCCCCACCGCATTCCGAAAAATCCGAGACCTGCACATCAGCCCCGGGCGCCCAGCCGAAAGTGCCCCCTAGAACTAGGCCAGCGGCCGCGACAAGCCAACCCTCCAGGAGCCTTCGGCGCCCCGCCCCACGCGTGTAGCTGTGTTCTCTTTCCAAACGCTGGGCCCGGGCCGCCGCTCCCATTGGTCGGCGGCCACGTCCGTCAGCGGGCGGGACGTCCGTGACGAGAAAAGGCTACATTGTAACAAGGCGAGCGAACGAGGAGCGAGCGGGGAGGAAGGAGGCGGAGGGGCGGCCCCCCGAATCCCGCAGCGGCGGCGGCAGCGGCGGCGGCAGCTACCTGCCGAGGGTTAACCCACCTCAGGGCCGGGGCGAACCGCCTCCCCCAGGCCTGCATCCGCACCACCCCTGTCCCCGCTCCGCCCGCGCCGGTCCCCGACCGCCCGCGCCCCCCGCAGCCGCTCGCAGCCCCTGCACCGGCGGACCCCGCGCTTGCTGGCAAACTGCCGAGCGCTTTCCGAAGCCATTTTCAATGGCCACATTGGCTACCGGGGCTGACTCACCTTCCCGGGAATGCTGCGGCAGCCGCGGGGCCCGGGCGGCGCAGGCGGCCCGGCGGGCGGCTCGGCGGAGGCGGCGCGGCCCCGGCGGGCGGCCCCGCGGCGGGAGCGGCCGCGCTGCGGCGCTCGGGTCCCCGGCGAGGCAAAGTTTCAGCGCCAGCCTCGGCGCGGCGGCGGCGGCGACTCGCTGCTGCTCTCCTCCCCTGCTTTGACCACCATCTTATTAGTACAGGAAATGACATGGAAAACGGAAGAAAGCGGCGTTTGGGGCAGACGCGGACCCCCCAATTCAGGGGCCGGAGCCGGGACTCACCAGCCGCGTCCCAGCCCGGCCCCGGAGAAAACTCCCGGAGCCCCCTCGGCCCCCGCCCGGCGCGCGGCCCGGAGGGGGAAACTAGCTCCACGAACTCAAAAAGAGAGGGCGAGTTTTATAATCCAGCCTGAGGAGAAATAGAGAAAAAAAATAAATAAATGAAAAAAGAAAAGGTTAAAAGAACTTTCGAACTGGGACACTTTTTTTTTCCTGGTCGGAATTAAAAGTTCTAGAATTTTTAAAAGTCATTCCGTAGTGGGGGCTCCCAGCCGCTCCGGGTCCTGTCGCTGCCCATTTTGAACCAAATAGAGGGATAAACGCGTTTATATTTTTAACCCTTTCGAGGCCCTGCCGCCCGTTGCTGGCCCGCTCCCGGTCCCGTTTAACCCTTTGGATGCCCAGCAGTCGGCAGATAAAAACTGGAGTTGAAAACGTAGGCGTCCCGCTGAAAGCTGAGGGTAAGGGGCTTGGGGGTTCGTTTAAAATGTTAACTATTTACGTGGGGCTACGGTTTTAAAGTCGCGAACCGCACATGCTCTTCAAATGGAATTTGTTACCGGGATTGAGATTCTGAGAACCGGACGGGCTGGTCCCTGTCTGTCTTGGGAAAGATGTTTAAGCTGTGCTCACTTGCTTGGTTCCTCGGTTTCTCCATCTGTGAAATGGGATTCAACATCACAGAGACTGAAGGTAGCGAGGAAGAGACGGGGAATTCTCATGGAGACAAAGTGCATAAAAGTCTGAAAGCCTTCCTTTGGCGCCGAGAAAACCGACGGCCTATGATGGGGTGGAGGACGGCGTAACCCGGACAAACATTCCAGAAATAATCCCTTTCCCTTGGCGTGGCCTGCAAGGCGCGTGGCCGAACTGCCAAGTGTCTCCTGCCAGGGAGGGCAGTCCTGTGCTGGCTCTAAAACAGGGGGCCATACCCCCAAGTCAGAGGTTGATGGGAGGGATTTGATCCCAGAAAGGTGCCTGGGCGGGGCTGCTCAATAAAGGGTGGCGGCCCCACCCAAAGATCCTTGGAAGCCCTGCAAAGGCGGGCATTGGCAGCTTCAGGGTACCACCCTAGGGAGATCTCCTCCCAAGGGGATGGTGTTCCACGTAAACCTCTATGCTGGCTGAGAGCCTGGCCCGAGATGGGCGTCCATGGACAGGCCCTAGGACATGCTCCTGGCTTTTGCAGTCTTTTGGGGATGGGGTTGGGAGCGTGGGGAGAAGCACTTTATGCACCAATCATCTGTTTGCCTTGATTTTGGCATCGCAAACACAGCTTCTTGGAATCCCATGCCTGTTACTTGCTGTGTGATACTCAGTGATTTACCTGCCCTGAGTCTCAGTTTTCTTACCTTCAAAGCAGGGCACACTAATAACCCACGTTGCTGGCTCTGTGTGAAAAGCCATGAGAGTGTATTTAAAGGACATAGTACTGAACTGCTCACAGTAGATGCTCAACTAACAGTAATTGATGCCATAATTATATGACATTCATTACAACTTTACATTTTCCTGAGCATCTATTTGCTCCATGCCAGGCAGAGTATTGGGTACTGGGGGAGCACTAAGAATAGTTAGTCAAGGTCTTTTAGGGAGGACCCAGTCTGCCAGGAGACGGACTTACTCACGGTTAATTCAAACTAATTCAGTAAGTAATGCACACCCAGCTTCACTAAATATTACGTAGAGGCGAAGGGCTTGGGCTGGGGGAAGGACACAGAGGAAGGAGCCATTTGTTCCTTTTGAAGATTAGGGCTCACCAAGGAGATGACATCAGAGGCTGGACTTGAGAGGGGGCTGGAACTTCCACCAGTGGCAGGAGGGCATTCCAGCACGGTGAACAGCTCAGGCGAAGACCTGCCGGAGTCAAAGGGCCCAGGGGGTTGCCAGGCAAGTCAGCTGTGACTGGAGTAGAGAGTGGGTGGGGCGGAGGAGCCGGGGATGAGGCTGGAAAGCTGGGTGCATAAAGGGAAAGTGTGGTCACCTCCTCCAAAAAGCAACGAGGTCTTTTAAGAGAATTAACTGGTGAGGCCAGGAGGGGATTCCTCCTGCAGCGCTGCTTTTATATTTCAGACTAGAGCTGAGGAGTGGGCCTGGGTCCTTGGGCATTGCAGGCTGGCGAGGTGGCTCTCTGGGCACCACACTTGGGAAGCGCAGAGACACCGCGTGGTTCAGGGATCCGGGTCTGAGGGGACGGCCACCGCACACTGTAAGTTGTGGTGCATGACTCATCCCGTCTAGGCTCCAATTTCCTCCTCATATGACATAAGGAGTTTGGACCAGAAGTCCTGCATTCGACCCTTAAGAAGTTGCCCCACAGGCAGGTAATCAAAACCAAGGCACAGGAAAGGAACCTGGAGCAAGGCTGGGAGAGTTGCTGGAACCATCTCAGAAGGGAAGCCTGAGGCGGCTCAGGGGTTGGCACAGGTGATCTGGGTCAGTGTGGGCAAAAATTGGACCCGAGGCCTGAATGTAGTCACCACGGACAAGCGATCAGAGCCAGGCAGGTCTTGTGAGGCTGTGTCTCGGCTTCTCCCCGTGGGCTGAGTCTTGCCTGAAACATTGAAGTAGTGGTGGGGTAGGAGCTCCCCTCAAATTCCCTGAGACTAGTCGGGGGGAGGAGAAGGGGACAGAATGAACAGAGCACAGGATACACACTTGCAGGGACATTACCTTTGATTCTCTATAATACAAGGCAGCTATGATCGACTCTTTTTCAGAGGTGGAAAGCATGCTCAGAGAGGTTAAGAGATCTGCCTGAGGTGCTAGAAGAGGGATAAGACTCAAACCCAGGTCTGCCTGACTCCATTGCTCAATGTCTTCCATTCTTCAACATCCCTGGTTCATTGTCCTTTTCCATATGAAGTCTGTCAGCCTAATGGTTGGTAAAGCTTTCCCCTAATTTTTCCCTTAGGCATATCACACATAAGGAACTGACCAGAACTTTATGATACAAGGTCAGGTCCTTCATGACCTCCCCCTGCAAAAACTGTGCCAACAGCCCAGTCACCTCCAGGCCCCCCGAGGACACTGAGATGCTCTAAGGGAATGAAGCTCAGCTCTTTGGGAGGAAAAGCCAATGTGGTCTTTCTCATCTCCTGCTAATCAAAATGATATTTAAGCAGGACATATGTCCAATGAGCTGCAAGTTAAATGCCCACATCACTGGAGATTCACTTCCCCACTTGCTATAAAACAAGGACAGTATTTATTGGGAGAGATTTCATTCAGGATTTAGTGCCTGGAAAAAAACTAACCCTGAAAACCATCTGCATTTCCCTCGAGGAACTGGCAAGCCTCTCCCTCGCTAATAAGAAGAGCTCCGTAACTGATCAGGTCTTCCTTTTCGCACAGGCTGCCAGGAAGCTCAGAGCCAAATTCCACCCTCATTCCCAACAACTTTGGCAGTTGCTCCCTCCTCATTCTTCCCTTTCTACTTCTAATCCTACTGACTCAGCCTTGTTTTCTCTGCTTTTTATTAAAGATATCCCCTTTTCTTAATTGCAAGAAAGAAATGTTTACAATAAATTCACATTTGGAAGAGTTGTTGAAGGGACCCAGATTCCATGGGCCTTGTGTTAAGCCAGGCGTGGTTCTGTTCGGCTCTGGTCTGGTCCACTTGCTCAGCCCCTGAGGGATCCCTCTCTTGGAAGGAAGGAGGGACTGGCTTAAGACCAAGGGATTCCTCACCCAGCTGCCGACAACAGCTAGGATCAAATGCCCTGGGTCAGATCATCATTGCTATTTTTTGCTCTAATGACAAGCAGCTTGCCTCTCTTCTGCCTGCTCCCCAGGAAGCACAAACCACCGTCCCCTACCTATCCCCTGGAAGCATCCCCAGTACTTCCTCCTGATGAGGCATGGCAGGGAACAGACTCATCTTCTGCATAAGCCCCTGCCATTTACAGACTGCTTACCACGGGCCCAGCCAGGAGGCAACTGGGGTGGAGGTAGGGAGGGTAGGGTCAGGGTGAATGAGGAACTTTAGGTGACGCACATAAGGAAGGCCTCTTGGAGGAGGTGGCATTTCAGTGGGAGCCTTGACAGATTCAAAAGAGCAAGTGCCACCAGGAATTGAGTAAAGAGTTCCTTGGCGGGGGACACAGCCCATGCCAAGGCTCTGGAGCAGGACCTAGCTGGTCTCGCTGTATGAGGTGGCAGAGGTCAGCGTGCCCAGGGTGCAGTGCGGAAGGGAACACAGGGTAGGAGACAAGGGGGAATAGTGGGTGGGATCTGAGCCATGCTTTTCCGTGCTTTAGATTGATTTGCAGGGCAGTGGAAGCCACTGGCAACTTCTCAGTGGGGGAGACAAGCCGGACCTGACGGATGTGTTCACACAGCCACCTCGGCTGCCATGCAGCTTCTGACATTTACTGGGCGCTGGGTGAGTAGGTAGGCATGTCCACAAACTATCTTACTGAGTGATCGCCACATTAGAGATGAGGGTAATAGGAACATGTCTCTTATTTCTGGCTGCCCAGCCTCTGATGTCCCTTCCAACGACTGGGAAACTTCTCACCCTCTGAGCCTTGGGGACAAGCAGGGTGTGCCCTCCCTTGTGCCCCCAATGGGATGGCATTAGAAGGTGAGGCTTTGGGGAGGTGATTAGGTGAGGAGGGTGGGGGTCTCGTTAATGGGATCAGTGCCTTTATAAGAGACCCCAGAGAGCTCCCTGGCCCCTTCTGCGCTATGAGGACACAGAGAGAAGAAAGCCATCTGTGAACTAGGAAATGGGTTTTCACCAGA